GTTTTGAGCGTATGCAGCCAGCATGGCTGTCTCGGCGATCATGTCTCGAAGTGGCATAGCATCGAAGATCTCTTTCGCAGAGAAGATATGACCCTTTTGGGCATATGCCGCGAGCATGGCAGTCCAAGAAACAAGGTTCTTTTCAGGCATAGAATCAAAGATTTGAGTGGCTTCGAGGAGCAAGCCGTGACCGATGAAAGCAGTGAGAATCGCGTTCCAAGAAACGATGCTAACAATTGGAGTAGAATCAAAGATGATCTTTGCAGAGTCAAGATGCCCACACTGGGCATATGTCGAGAGCATGATGTTCCAGGAGACGAGCGAGCGCTGCGGCATGGAATCAAAGAGGAGCTTCGCGTTTTCTAGCTGCCCATTACGGGAATAGGCCGTGAGCATGAAATCCCAGCTGAAAGAGTCCCGCATGGCCGTGTCCAATCGATCAAACACCTCTCTCGCGAGCTGTGGACTCCCGCATTTGCCAAACATCTCGATCAGCTTGTTGAGGATGAAGATCGAGGAGGACGATTCATCGCCACCGTGCTTGATCGCGACCGCGCGCCGCACGCCATGCTCGATCGCCCGAGCTAGAGACAGCGACTTGCAAGCCTCGATCCTGCGAAGCCACTCGTCCTGGGTGTGAAGGATCATTGCTTGGGCCTTCTCGACCAGACTGGTGGATAGATTGCGAACAACCCACCAATGCCTTCATGGATTGCTGGCTCGACCGCATAAGATTCATTTCTCAAGAAGGTATGCTTCTGAAGTCCATTTTGCTTGGATAACATAGCTCTACCATGGATAAAGCATATTCATGATTCTCGTTTTGTCTGGAGGAAAAAGAATTGCTTTGTAGCGGCGCTTCCAAGGATCCCGCCAAGGAGCAGCGCCTAGGTCTGCGATAATCTCTGCCAATATATATAGATCGCACTCTGGTATAAGTTCTTGTTCTTCATGATTCTTTTATGGCGGAAAAACTCAATTTTCGACTAAGAGAGCTACTCACAAATGCCTGCATTTGTCTGCGGCACTTGTGCCTATGTTATTTCTCGCCATTGTTTCCATCCATGCATTGAGAGAGCTTCTTGATCTGGTGCATGAGGTTTACCTCCTTAGTATGCTCCATCTTGATCCATATGTGGTCACAGACTCGGTTTGCAAACATGCATCAACCTATAACCTTGCCTTTTCAAAACTCAGAAGCCTGCCTCTTAGCCTCTTCCCTTGTCTTTGCGAGCTTACAATCCATGGTGATGACATCCTCTCATTTTCTAGTATTGCCCTTTCTCACCTTCAAAACTTGAGAATCATCTTGTCAAGTGACACTTTCACTTTAGATACCAATTTAAAAATTTGTAAAGGATTTTGATGCAATAAGCTTAGAGTTTAACTCCAAATTCAAGTGCACTACAAAATGCTATTTCTTGAAAAAAACTTTGATAAGCTCCCTATATCTAGCTTTTGCATGCAAAATGGTGTTAGATGGTGTTTAGCATAAGTCAAAATACTAATGGCCTAATGTAAAGAAGTGGGTACCCCACTAACAAACTTGGGTTTATGCTCAAATTAAACATAAAATAAAGAGTAACACAACCTTATGAATGTCTTAAGTGGTTTGCTATGCTTCTGATTATCTTTATTATACATTTAAAACCCTTTATACCCCCACCTTTGCCTCTGCCCAATATGAAAGAACTAAGACTCGTGATGCCTTTCCCTTACTTTAAGGAGTATAATCTTTTTAACTTAGAGACTCATTAAGCCACTTGTGGTGGTTTTTTCCCTTTGTTTGGTTTAATTCTAGTTAAACCCATTAGAAATACTTTTTGTATCTCAATCCAACTATTTATTCTTGAGTAATTTTAGCTTCTATCAACATAACCATCACACTTTGAAACTTTTAATTTTGATTTCTCGAAGTCAATTTCTTAGGTGTCTCCGACACCTTGCATTACACATATTATGCAAACTCCACTTCTCCATCATAGAAAGTTCTTTACTTGAGGGCACCATCATCCTCTTTTTTATTTTATGCCACTCTAAACACTAAGTTTTATTTATCCATAATTCACGACCCTATCATTTAGCTAATTTGCTACTCCCTCTTTTAAAACTTTCACCTTTGCCAAATTGAAGTATTTGAGAATCCATCATTGGAAATATATTTTCTTTCCCATGATCTATTAGCATCCAACATATAAGTGTTCTTTGCCTAACTTTACCATTTAGATTTTTTCCAATGATTTCTATAGCTCTCTTGATGTTAAGTGATATCTTCTTGCTTGCCCTTTGTGAGATCTTTCATATTTTGCCTTTATCCTTTGATCGTTTCACTAAATAATGTAGGATCACTACTTCCATCATTGAAGTATCCTTTTAGTTCCATAACTAAGGCTTTGCTTTGCTAAATCCAGAGGGTGTTTACCCCTAATAAGTCTTTTTAGCATTTTTTACTGTAAGCTTTATCCACAGCCCAACTTTATAGCCCTCCTATAAGTATTTCCTAAAAATTACTTTCTTAGACTCACTATACCATCGCATTGACACCCTTGATTTCCCTTTAAGTGTCTTTCCCACTTGGTCACTTTGACTAAGTCACACTATTACCAACAGTTCAAATCACCACTTTCCTATTCCTTAACCAAACAAGGGATTTGTCCTTTTTTAACCATAAGATCACCTAGTAACATAATCTTGACACCTTAACAGATTTGCCAATAAATATTAAGCCTTTCAAACCTTTAAGTTGTTGACAATGACCTTGAGGGCATCCTTCACACTTGGTAGTATGCCCAAACTAGCCCTTCTGGCCAAGGGTCCATAGTAACTAAGATTGGGTGTCCACATCCAATTCACCACATTTTTTATGCCACTTGCACCAAAATGTTTAAGTTAGATATATTGAGCTTTCACACTAAGAAATCTAACCATGCATCATGACTCTGAGGCATCCCCTGTTTGGCAGTATACCCAAGCCAATCTCCTTACTAAGAGTTCATGACCTCCAGAAAATGAGTGTTTTCATATTCCAAACCATCACCAGGCCCTAGTGAGTTGGGACTCGAACTCAAGCACTAAAGAGTTGGGACTCAAACTCAACCTTCGCATGTATCTACGAGAGGCATCACCCAAGATGCCTAGTATAACTCCCTATGTTGGTGCACCAACTTATACTTAAAGTGTGTTATTGATCACAATTTAGGAACTTAGTTCCTCTGAATTGCCAAATCCTCTCACTTGACAAGTCTGTGATCATGCATGAACTCCTCCATACTTGGCTCTATGGGCTACCCCTCTTTGAAGTCAACACCTTCCACTAGGGTTTTTGTTCTCCTGACTTGCCAATCTCACTTAGCAAGTCATCTAACTAGCTTAATATAGTTTTATGTATAAGCGTGAAAATCCTTAACTATCGACTTTCATTCAAAGCCATCTCTTTGAACACTCGGGAACTATTTCCCCAACCTTGATAGCTTCGCCTCATGGCAAACTTCAAGACCATACTTCTGCTATGTCATTCTGATTTTGCACGTTTTATGAACCATTTATACTTGCCTTTCTAGGAACTAACCTATCTAGAATTGTCTTTGGGAACCTTGAAGGGACTTTATCCTTTAACTTTCTAAAGCTTCTCCATTCACATGTTTTCTAATTACTATATGGTTTAATATGGATGATTCCATACTTTAGAGTCTCCATGGCATCACGATTGCCAGTAGCAACACTTTTGAACACCCACTTAATTCTCCACTCCCAACTTGCATAACCACTCTCAGTCATGCCCTTTGATTAATATAGTTTGGTTATATCCTTTTACTATTTACTTTTGGTGTTACATGTTTCTTTCGGTAATTCTCTTCCAAGCTAAGAGGATAGTTTTGCACTTTCTACCATGTCTTAGCAAGTATTCTTAACGATGAACCTACCCGAAAGCTTAGGGAGTGGTTCCTCAATCCAAATATGCTCACCTTGTAATCTTATATACCAAGATTAACATTGCTACTTATGAGCCTTTATGTTCCCGTCACTAGTCTTGTCATCTCTTTTGGTTTTGTCCAATTTGGATAAATGGACTTCTCCCGTCTCCGCAACCTTGGACATTAAATAGCACCTTATATCCATTATTCATTAAAGAATTAGTCCCTTGAGCCTTATCTAGTGCTCATGATATCAAACACTACTTCCTGGTGTTTTAGAGTGTTTAGGTGTCCTAATGATGGCCTTCTTTGACAATGAACATTTCCTTTTATGACATTGACTTGTAACATAATCATTTTATCCCCCCATAGGATATATCTAACCTTCTTATCCCAATAATTTTTTTTGGGAAGTTAACCTCTACCAATCCAATCAATTATACCATATATTTGCTTAGTTATCTCACAATTGTCAAGTCTTACAACGCATTGCTAGTGATTCCACACCTCCATCATTATTTGGGACTACACATTTGAATTGCATGCCTTCCAGCTTAGGCTATGGCAATCTTATTTTCATTGAGATTCCTTTGGCAAATAGTTCTCATGAATCAACCAACTTGACTTCAAGGCCTCATTCCTTGAGATATTTAAGTCTCCAACCCATTAGCTTTATGAGCCTACTTTCATAACACTTTTCACTTGTGTCTAGATCTTTGCCAAGACCAAAGCAGTTGTTTCTCATGCCCACTATCAATTAGCACTACACTATGGTGTTCACATACAACTCTGTACCACAGTTACTTTCTTCTGGGAACACTTGTCCCACGATTTTAGTATGACACATTCTGCCGTCAATGAGATACCCATTGTTCACATATTTGGATCTTATGATCCTCCTCATCCTTCATTGGGTACAACACACCTTAGTCCAAATGCTTCTATCAATTCTTTAGGACCATTCCTTGACTCCACTTGAGTCATCCAACTTTTTAGACTTTGTTAATTTAACGACCCATAACACTCTAGCCTCATAACTACTTTTGAGGTGCTAGCTCATTGAAATACAACTTTTTACATTCATGTCTTACTCATAAGGGGGATGGTCCAAAGTTGAGTTAAGCTCACGAGTTGAGCTCAATTCAGCTCAAATCAATACTAGTCAACATAGTCAACCATAAGTCTTATAAGGAAATATTAAGTCAGAAAAGTGTTATTCTTTGGTGAACTTGAAATTTATGAATTTAAGTATCAATGGTTCAGAGAGATTTTTATTTTTTAAATCTTTCCAATACAATTTATACAATTTCTAGAATTAGAAGTTCGTTTGAACCCATAGAAATTTTTGGGCTTTATTTGTTCTAAATAAAATGGGAATATTGAAGTTTGAATGAACCTAAAATTTCTATTATACATTTCAACATTTTAACATTTCAATAATTGACCAAAAATATACAAATAATTCGAAACACTGATTCACTCATTCATTTTTTAGGGTTTACAGAGATGGGAAGCAAGGAAGACAAAAAATCTATAAATAGTTATAGCATACAGAAATGTGAGAATGTTAATTTTTTTTCACTACCACAATCTTCATATTACATGCCTGGTCCTTATTACCCATCCGGGAATGTGGAAAGCACTATCACTATTGATAAAAATGCTCCTATTACTTTCGAAACAACAATCCAGAGCAAGAGAAAAGAAGAAATGGACAGCACAGCGGAAAACACT